CACTGGCTGGGGTGTGGGTCCCCTGAGACCCACTCCCCACCACCACACACTATGTCCATTCAATGGGTATATATGTGTATCCCCTGAGTCCAAGATAAAGTAAAAGAAAAGAAAATAACAGAAAAGAAGAAGAAAAAAGAAGAGAAAAATAAAGGGAAAAAAATAAGGCAAACCAAAAAATGAAACACATACAGAACATGCAAAAAAAATTGTGAGTACTGAGCTCTCTCTTTTGGCAAGTTCTGCAACTTCAGTTTTTTCTCTGCTATTATGCTTGAAAGACTTTTAATTTTGTTTTGCAATTTTATATTTCTGTGTTTCATTTTTAGGGTAGGCAATCTTACATTGGTCTATTGTGTTTTTGGTTTTTAACTATAATAATTTTTTTATGACAACATGTAAATCTGTTTACTTTAAGACAATGTGACAAAAATCAAACATAAATCAGTCAAATATCTATTGCCAGTATAATTATCAGTGTGTGTTTTTTGCCTGCATAAATATTACTACTCTTTTGTTTATGACATGTATTTGTTTCTTTTTTGTTGGTCAGTGGTTGTTTTATTGTGTCTAGGTGAGTAATTAATTTCAACATCCATTTATTGGTGAGTCTATGCTATATGTCTAAGAGAAATACTTTTGTTATTTGAAAGTACTTTTTGTAAAGCTTCATAAGTCTATCTCTTTTAGGTGTTGTTGATTATTTTCACTTGGAAAAAACACATAACAAAATTTATAATTATAAATATTTTTAATTATACAGTTTCATTGAAGTATATTGACATTGTTATACAACATATCTTGAGTGTTTTTATCTTGCCAAACTAAATCAATACACATGAAGCAACTTTTCCTATTACTTGGCAGTTTACAAACATCATTCTATTTTCTGTTTCTAAGACTGTAACTACTTTAGATGTCTTGTGTAAGTGGATTAATTCAGTATCTGCCTTTTTGTGGCTGACTTATTTCATTTAGCATAATGTTACTAAGATTTGTTTTTATTAAGACGTTAAAAGACATACTGCTTTTTAAAAGCTGAATACTAATCCTAATACTAGTTGTTTTTGTATTCCAAGTTATATTCATCCATTTGTTGAGAATAGTTTGGATTGCCTTCATCTGTTGGTTTTTGTGAATAATGCTGCAATAAATATGGGTGTGCAAATAACTACTTACTTGATTGTATACATGAAGGTTTATTTCTGTGTTATTTATCATTTCATTGGTTTACTTGTTTGCCTTGATGCCAAGACACAACTGCTTTGATTACTGGAGTTTTGTGATCCATTTTCAGTGTAAGTATGATGTCTCCAACATTTTTCTCTTTTTAAAGGTTGCTGAGCTCTTTGTGATCTGAGATTTTTTTATTTATTTTTTTTATTTTTTTGAGTTGAAGTCTCACTCTGTCACCCAGACTGGAGTGCAGTGGCCACTCCCGGCCACCGCAGCCTTGACCTGCTGGGCTCCGGCGATCCTTCCGCCTCAGCCTTCCAAGTAGCCAGAATTACAGGCATGCGCTACCACGCCTGGCTGATTTTTTGATTTATTGTAGAGATGAGGTCTCGCTGCCCAGGCGGGTCTCGAACCCACGGGCTCAGGCAATTCATTCACCTCAGCCTCCCAAAGGCGCGGGATTACAGGCTTGAGCCACCGAGCCCGGCTGATCTAAGATTTTTATATGATTTTTTAAGTTGCTTTTTCTATCTCTGCCAAAATAAAATTGAAAATTTGAAATAGATTAATTGCATTGAATCTCTGGATAACTTTGGGCAGTATGGACAGCTTCACAATATTAAGTATTCACACTCGAAGAAGAGTGTGCTCAAGGCTGCTGTTTAATTTCCATATATTTGTGAATTTTTCAGTTTTTAATTTGGCAATAAATAATAATCTATAAGTTTTCAATTTTTAAAAATTTGTTAAGACTTGTTTTGTGGACTAACAGATGGTCTATCTGGAAGAATTTTTATAAGCTATTGAGAAGATTGTATAATCTGTTTTGTGGTGTGTTCTGTTATACATCTTTTAGCTGTAGTTGTTTTATAGTGCTTTCAAGTCCTGTTTCCTGTGTATTTCTTGACTCAAATCTGTTATGTTTGCTGTATATTTGGGAACCCAGATGTGAGAAATAGGTATACACACACACACACACACACACACACACACACACACACACAGACGCACACACGTTATAATTTCCTAGTGAATATTTTATAAAATATGGCAGTTTATGACTTAAAATGTATTTTGCCTGATATAATTGTTATCTCTCTTGCTCTCATTTGGTTAACATTTGTATAGAATGTCTTTTCCATTCTCCTTTCAGATTGTTTTTTCATTAGACCTAAGTGAATTTTTTTTTTTTTTTTTTAGTTGAAGTCTCATTCTGTTGCACATCCTGGAGTGCAGTGGCACACTCACGGCCACCGCAGCCTCAACCTGCGGGGCTCAGGCAATCCTTCTACCTCAACCTTCCAAGTAACTGAAACTACAGGCATGTGCCACCATGTCCAGCTAATTTTTTTATTTATTGTGGAGACGAGGTCTTGCCATGTTGCCCAGACTGGTATCGAACCCCTGGGCTCAGACAGTCCTCTTGCCTCAATCTCCCAGTCTCCCATGGGATTACATGCATGCGCCACCGCACCCAGCTTAGACCTAAGTGAATCTCCTGTAGTCAGGATATAATTGAGTCTTGTTTTGTTTTTAATTTTTAAAATTCCTTCATTAAATATATATTTTGACTTGGAAGTTTAGTCTGTAAATATTTAAATAATTTCCTGAGCAGAAAGGACTTACTATTGTCATTTGATTAATTGTTTGTTTGATTCTCATAGCTGTTTTGTCCTTTTTTTCTTTATTTCTGGTTTTGTATCTCATTAATTTTTGAATTTTCATGCTATGACTCCTTTCTTTTTACTTTGCTTTTTTTTGGGTACCAGCATAGGTATTTTCTTTGTGGTTGCCATGGAGATTATATAAACCTTTTTTAAATTTTCCCCCCACCCCCCACCCATATAAACCTTTTAAAGTTACAGCAGTATATGTTAAACTGGTAACAACTTCAGTTGCATAGAAACATTGTCTATCAGTCCTCTGCCCTCAACCAACTTTTTTACTGATTTCAGTCATATATATTTTTGTATTATGTATCTATTAACAAATGTGTATAATTCTTTTTCTACTTTTGTCTTTCAAAATTTTTAGCACAATTAAAAACATTTTTTACACCATCATTATAAAACAACATAATTTTGTTTTTGTATATGTGCATGTGTTTTTTAGTGTTATGTGTTTTTATATAATGTTTTCTAGCATTGTTATTTTCAGTGGAAGGAACTCTCTAGTATTCCTTGTAGGGCAGATCTACTGGTAATGTACTTTTTCAGCATTTGTTACCCTGGAAAGTTTTTTGTTTGTTTTATTTTGAAGAATAACTTTTTTGGTTATAGTATTCTTGCTTAAAAGTTTTTCTCTTTTGGCATTTTTACATATCACTCAACTCCCTTCCAGACAGCTAGGATTTCACTTGTATTCTCATAGGAGCATGCTTATAGATGGCACATAACTTTATTTATTCTGCTTTCAAGATTATCTTCTTTATTGTGACTTTTTTTTTTTTTTTTGAGTCAGCGTCTCAATCCGTCACCTAGGCTGGAGTGCAGTGGCATGTTCACAGCTACCACAGCTTCAACCTTCTGGGCTCAGGTCATCCTTTTGCCTCAGTCTCCCAATTAACTGGGACTACAAGTACTCACTACCATGTCTGGCTAATTTTTTTGATTTATTGTAGAGACAAGGTCTTCCCACATTGCCCAGGTTGGTCTTCAACTCCTGGACTCAAGGAATTATCTTATGTCAGCCTCCCAAAGTGCTGGGATTGCAGGCGTGAGCCACCACATCCCGGCCCTTGTCTGTGACTTTTGAGTACTTTGTTTATGATGTAGTTTGTTAAGGGTCTTTTAATGGTTATCCTAGTTGAAAAATGTTGAGTTTTTTATTTTTTTACATCTTTTTTCTTATGTTGAAAGTTTTATCAGTCATTATTTTTGTAGTCAACTCTACAGTTCCTTTTTAAAAACATATTTTTTTTGGATATTCTCATTTTCCTGATTTCACTTCTGTGTTACTGATCATTATTCTTGATGATTTTGAATTTTTGAAGGTGATTTATACATTTTCATTTATTTAGCATTGATATCTGGGTATTTATCTTGTTTCATTATTTAGACCATGTTACCTTAATACTTTGTATACATTGTACTCTTTCATTGAGGTTTGTGTATTAACAAAAAGCCACCTGTCACAATCTTTATAAAGCAACTTTTTGTCTTGGGAAGACTGACAACAACTGGCCAGGCTAGAGATTCTGGAAACATCTCCAACCTGTTCTTAGGATGTATCTTCTTTGGAATTGTGTGTTGATTTTTTTCAATCACTTGTACTGGTTTTCTGTCGGTTGCACTGCCATCTCTTTACTGCTGTATCAGTTGTTGATCTTAGCAGATCCAATCTGTCGTTGACGGTATACCACCATTCCTGTCAGCATTCTGTGTCATGAAAACAGAAACCATCCCCTAAAGGCCACTAAAAGCCAGAAGTATGGACTCATTTGCCGTTATTTTTGTTCTCTTTTGAGGGAGGAGCCAAGAGTTGAGAGTTTTCTTCTTAAAGCATCATGTAACATTGGGGAGGAGGAAAGACTCTTGTGGGTTAATGTAACAAACCTTTCTGCCCTTCTATGTGACTCTTGGCATTGTGCCCAACCGGGGTACTGCAAACTGCTAACTGGTTTATAGAGTTCTCACAAAGGGATTTTGTTTAGCAGATTTTGTTAGGTTTATATGTCTTTGAAAAAAATTAGGGCCTGGGCTATTTGATCATGCCATCTTGGTCTAGTGGTTTTTTTTTTTTATAATTTTATACATTAAATTTATAAAGTATATTCACCTGATTTCCTAAGTGGCATAATTTGTTAATTTTATTTCTTTCTGTAGTGTCTTCTCATTTCACCAACGACCTTTTGCCAGAGCAGAGCATTAAAGACTCATTCCAAGAAATGATACTGAGAAGATATGGAAACTATGGCTTTGATAATTTAAACTTAAAGACAGACTGGGAAAGCATAGATGAGTGTAAGGGGCAGAAAGGATGTTATAATGGACTTAGCCAGTGTTTCTCAACTACCCATAGCCAAAGTTTTCAATATAATGAATATATGAAAGCCCATAATAAATTGTCAAATCCAACTAGACATAAGATAAGCTATACCGGAGAGGAACTTTTCAGTTGCCAAGAATATGGCACATCCTTTTATATGCCCTCAGTCCTAACTCAACATCAGAGAATCCATACTGGAGAGAATCCCTATAAATATGGAGAATGTGGCAAAGCCTTTAACCAGTGCTCACAGTTTACTGAACATAAGAAAGTTCATCCTGGACAGAAACTCTACCAATGTGAAACATGTGGCAAAGCTTTTAAACACAGTTCAAACTTTTCTAAACATAAGAGAAATCATACTGGAGTGAGACCTCACAAATGTGAAGTATGTGGCAAGGCCTTTAAGTTGTTCTCATACCTTACTGAACATATGCGAATTCATACTGGAGAAAAACCCTACAAATGTGAAGAATGTGGGAAAGCTTTTAAGCAGTGCTCAATCCTTACTAAACATAAGCGAATTCATACTGGAGAGAAACCTTACAAATGTGAAGAATGTGGCAAAGCCTTTAACCAGTGCTCACACCTTACTGAACACAGGAGAATACATACTGGAGAGAAACATTACAAATGTAAAGAATGTGGCAAAGTCTTTAAATCTTGTTCAAGTCTTTCCAATCATAGGAAAGTTCATACTGGAGAGAAAATCCACAAATGTGAAGATTGTGGCAAAGCTTTTAAGTGGTTTTCATACCTTACTCAACATAAGAAAATTCATACGGGAGAGAAACCCTACAAATGTGAAGAATGCGGCAAAGCCTTTAACCAGTCTTCCAACCTTACTGAACATAAGCGAACTCATACTGGAGAGAAACCCTACAAATGTGAAGAATGTGGCAAAGCTTTTAAGCGGTGTTCAATTCTTATTGAACATAAACGGATTCATACTGGAGAGAAACCCTATAGATGTGAAGAATGTGGCAAAGCCTTTAACCAATGCTCACACCTTTATAAGCATAAAAGAATTCATACTAGAGAGAAACCCTACAAATATGAAGAATGTGGCAAAGCTTTTAACCAAAGCTCACAGTTCACTGAACAAAAGAAAATTTGTCCTGGGGCGAAACTCTATCAGTGCAAACAATGTGGTAAAGCTTTTAAACACAGCTCAAACCTTTCTAAACATAAGAGAAATCATACTGGAGTGAAACCCCACAAATGTGAAGAATGTGGCAAAGCCTTCAAGTTGTTCTCATACCTGACTGAACATAAGCGAATTCATACTGGAGAGAAACCCTACAAATGTGAAGAATGTGGCAAAGCCTTTACCCAGTGCTCACATCTTTCTAAACATAAGAGAATTCATATTAGAGAAAAACTCCAAATGTAAAGAATGTGGAATAGCCTTTGACCAGTGCTTACACCTTAGTGTGCATGAAAGAATTCACACCTGAGTGTGTACAAATATTTTTAAAATGTGACAAAGCCTTAAATACTTGTTTACATAATACTCAACATCAGAGTGTTTATACTGAATAAAAGTGTTATAAAATAATGACTGTTGAAGGACCTATCACAGAATATAAGCCTTAGACTGCTTAAGAGTATTTATCCTGAAGACAGCATTACACATATATAGAGGGGTTGCTATGTCTTTACTTATATTAAGGTGTTATTTTACATAGGAAAATTTATACTGCAGGGAAGCCCTCCAATAGTTGTTCAAACTATTCAGCTTCAGAGAATTTCTACTGGTGACAAACCTTACCAATATAATGAGTACAAAAAATGTTTTCCAATAATATACCTTAGAAAATGGAGTTTATACAGAAAGATATTTTACAGATGCAATGAATGCAAAAATATATTTTTTAAAAAATCAAAATGAACATCAGTGAATGCACAGGAACAAAAACACGAACAGCATTAAAACTTTCAGATACTACTCTAAATCAGGGTGTTGAGTATAGAAAGTAATCCAGAGTTAAAACAGACAAATTTATGTGTATGTAAGTTTACTAGGAGCAGGAGATTAATTTTTTGGAAAGGTACAATTGCATTCAAAGTATACTTTTTTCATTGAAAATATTTTTGATGTTTTTAAAAGCAAATATTGATGTAATTTAACTCTCAAATCACTATTTCTATTGTTTATATGAAAGGGTATGATCAGTTGTTGCTGCATCAGAACTTTAAGAGGTCCTTCTATATAGGTTGGCATAATTTATATACTTTTCCATGGAAGATTCAGGACATTGAAATATAGAATGCATCAAGAGTTTCTAAGTGGAGAGGCTGTCGTTGACTTATAACAGTGTTGTAAGTAGATGCATAGGGTAGGTGGTTGGAGTCATATTCTTCTGCATTACAGCTTATAGCTAGAGAAATATTTAAATTCTAAAAGTAAACTGTTTTACCAACTGCATTGAGGTAATAAAATACAGTGGATTTTTAAATGCTTTTTTAAGACTATGTGTGAACTTAAATTGTTTTAATAAAATAAAACTTTTTAATGTGTTTGAATTGTGCCTTGAATCAAGTGTTATCTTGCCACCAATATTGACCTATCCCACCTTCCTCAAGGTTGTAGATAACAGATGGTAACAGTATGTTGGTTAACATGATGGAATGACATCTCTAGTTATACCTTTCCTAGTGACTTTAAACATTAAATAATTTGAAGATTATTCATGCATTATATTATTTTTCTATAATGACAGGGTCATTATGATTATAATGAAGATTCTATAGGAGTACAATACAAACCTATACATTTCTGAATTTTGGGTGATTACAAAATTTTATCCTAGATTTTCTTTGAATATGTATTCTTTCTTGCCTGCAAAACATACACACTTTTTTTTTTTTGAGTTGGAGTTTCACTTTGTAACCCAGGCTGGAGTGCAGTGGCACAATCATGGCCACCGCAGCCTTGAACTGCTAGGCTCAGGCAATCCTTCTTCCTCAGCCTTCTAAGTAATTGGAACCACAGGCATGCACCACCACACCCAGCTAATTTTTAAAATTTATTGTAGAGCAGAGATCTCACCATGTTACTCAGGCTTGTCTCAAACCCCTGAGCATAGGCAGTCCTTTCACCTCAGCCTCCCAAAGTGCTGAGATTACAGGCTTGAGCTACTGCACCCAGCCCATACACACTTCTAATTTTTGTTTACATTGAGTTAAATATACAACTATAGCATCTATAAACTTTATGAGTAAAAAACTGTGGAAGGATTTTGTATGAGTGTACATGTATACCTGTTTGAGAAGAACAGAAAAGTATTGGAATAAAGCAGGTAATTTCAGAAGTGTTGATAATTTTTCCTAACAAACTTGAAACCTTAACATTCTGAAAGCAAATCTACTTTTTCTGTTTTATAGTGAATTTATTGATTTAGAATTTAAAAAATCTCCCATACAAACCCTCTAGTTTTACTTTCCTGTTTATCATGCTAGACTTAATACACAATTCCTTGTATTATAGCTCATGATGTAACCTCAAATACTATAAAACTTTTTAAATGAAATGTAATGGTTTCAAAAAATAATTTGAAGATGTGAGTAGTTCCTCAATGAGTGTATTAAGTTACATTATATCTAAATAAGACATTCCATTTTTGTTTGTTGAATTGGCAGATCCTATTTTAGCTAATTTTTCTTTAGTTATTGTTCCTTTTATGTATTATAATTGAGTTTATTGGCTTTATTGTGCCAGTTTATTCAGGTATACTTTCACTGAGGCGAGAAGGTTGCCTGAGTAATCCAGCTTGGACAACTTGGTGACACCTCGTCTCTACAATATGTATATATAAAAAAAAATTAGCCTGGTGTGGTAGTGCATGCCTGTAGTTCTGGCTATTTGGAAGGCTGAGGCAGAAGGGTCATCTGAGCCCAGCAGGTTGAGGCTGGGGTGTCAAAGTCATAGAGGTGCTTTGACATATAAATGAAGTGAACAAACAGGACAGTGCTAGGTGTGTAATAGATGCTGTATAATTGGTGGTAAATGTTCCATTTGGAGTGAGCTTGTGGCTCCAAGTAAGGGAATTAAAATATCCAGAGTAAAGAAGTGGCATTGATTCTGCATGATGAGGGAGGACGTGTACCCAGGATGCACAGCTAACTGTCTAAATTGGAAAAGAGGAATTATGTCTTTATTTCCTAATTCCTTTTGCTGATTGTGTTCATTCCCAGCTGCACTTGCATCCCAGTCTTTCTCTTTTGCAGCTTGCTCACTGTTCCTCCCAACCCATGTCATTGAATACATTACTTTTTAGAATCTGATGAGAATTTGAGAATTTTTTAATGTGGTGAAAAATTGTTTTAACTGGAGAGTTTGAGGTCATTTATTGGTTATAGATGCAACATTTTGATCTCTTAGTTGAAATATGACACTGAGGCTAGAGGGTTGCCTGAGTAATCCAGCTTGGACAACTTGGTGACAACTCATCTCTACAATATGTATATAAAAAAAAAATTAGCCCGGTATTGTAGTGTGTGCCTGTGGTTCTGGCTATTTGGAAGGCAGAGGCGGAAGGGTCATCTGAGCCCAGCAGGTTGAGGCTGGGGTGGCCATGAATGTGCCACTGCACTCCAGCCCCAGCAACAGAGTGAGACTCTGACTCAAAAAAATAAAAGATATGCAGTGTCCACAGTCCAGAAAGTTAAACCAGGCAGTTAACATTGTCTTTGTAATTATTAGATCCTAACACAAAAATAGATACGGACTTCACAGCAACATGGATGGATTTAGAGTCTATAATACTCAGTGATTTATCACAGAAACAAAGATGTAAGTACTACGTGTACTCACTCATAAGAAGACCCTGATCATTTATCATAATACTATAAGAAAGGGATGGGCAGTAGTTGGACACTGCTGGGGGGGGGAGGCTCATAACATCAGTAAGGCTACCCAAACTTTACCTGCACAATGACCCTTTATGTTCCTAACCCTGAATTGTGTCCCATATCTTTAAAACAAAAACAATAATTTTAAAAATCATCTAAATAAAAAAATAGAATAAATGAATCATTTATAGCAATGAGTCATACATTGTAAGTGCTATATGTTAAAATGTCAGGATTTGGGAATCTCTTAAGAGAATATCTTTAAGGAGAGTTTGTGGTAAGTAAGTAAGTTTGAATCTGATTTTTTTTGTAGAATACTGATACCACCACTTACATTGCTATGCAAGATCTTCTGTTTTTGAGTGTCTGACAAATTTGTATGATGTCTGTGGATTTAAAACATGAAATGAGCTTCAGACTGATAGTGAAATATTCGGGAACTTCTCATTGTTTTATTTCTTTAATGGATGCAGTTCACAGTAGAGTTTTCACTTTTAGTCACCTAACTGTAGCCAACTTCATGGTCATTGTCTCTGGAAAAACTTCAGGCTTTATGGCAGCTGTTGAATTGAAACATTTCTTTAATGATTTTGGATGCAAACTTGTTTTCTGCATTCACAGAGTGACTAGAGGTGGGAATCTTAGCACACCTGTTTCTGTGGGGTTTTCTATACCAGCTGGTCCTGAATATGAGTTCTCATGCATGAGATTGGTAAATGAAATGGCAAAAAGCACAAAAACTTTTTTTATATTGTTCAGTTAAGTTTATGACAAAGACACAGGCTCAGTATTTCCAACATTGTTGTTCTTCCCTGTTTTTAAAAAATATTTTAATTGAAAAAAATTTTATTTATTGTATAAAATACTTTTGAAGTATTTATACATTGTTCAATGCTTAAATTCTAGTTAACAAATGCTTTGCCTATGTAGTTGTATATAGTTGTCATTTTTGTGGTGAGAATACTTAACATCAGCTGTCTCAGCATCATTCAAAGATACAGTATATTCTCAACATAATCACCATGCTGTACTATAGCGTTCTTAAGCTTATTCCTTCTTTCAAGCAGTAATTCATGTGTCCTTTGACAGACATCTCCCCAATCCCCACTCCCTATGAAAATCTCAGCCCTTAGCCACCATTCTTACTCTGCACTTCAGCAAGATCAGCTTATTCAGATTATACAAAGGAGTAAGATCATGAGGTTTATTCCTTTCTGTGCTTTATTTCAGTTAATATGGGGTTCTCCGGTTTATGTTATTGAAAGTGACAGAATGTTTTCTTTTTTTGGTTCCATTCCTTCGGTGACAATTAGGTTGATTCTATGTCTTGGCTATTGTGAATAGTGTTGCAATAAACATTGAAGTACAGATGTCTCCTCAACATGCTGACTTTTGGAAATATATGCTTAACAGTGTGATCATTGAAAGTTCTACTTTTAGTTATTTTTGAAATTATACTGTTTTGATTAATGGCTCTACTAATTTGCATCACACCAACAGTGTACAAGCATTA